CCGTTCTGGTGCTCAGTGTCAACGTCAGCGGGTTGTTTTGAGTTGCTGCTGTGTGACTGGCTAATTAGATTTTGCTTTAACATACAGCTATACCTAATAAAGTGGCTACTAAGTCAATCAGTCAATGGCCACAAAGTCATCAGATCTGACAGATGTGTAGTAGAAAAACAAGCAGTTGACATTTTAGAAGAATAAATACATTTACATATTACAGAAGTATTAAAAAAAAGAAAACTATTAATGCTCCCGAACCTTGTCAGTAAATGCAACATTTGTTTTAAACATTACTGCACTGTAAGTGTGTCCTATGGCACGTGTGTACTCATGTACTTACGTCCTGGTAGCCGTCTGCACATGGACCTTTGTTGTACACGATTTTTCTTATTAATTTTTTCTATTTTTAGTTTTCCAATATATAATATCTCAATTTCACATTTGTGCTGCTGTAATAAGTGAATTTCCCCAATGTGGGATTAAATAAAGTCCATGTCTATGTAACAGTATGATCTAACTCATCTGATTATTATTAGTTTGGATCCATCTTATCTTTGATGCACAAATTTCTTTTACAGCGCAGGCTACTCTGATTGGATTAGAACAATGAAAACCTTGTAATGTACACTTTTATTTTGAGGAAAAAAGCAATAAGGCAGTTCTAAACTCTTACCTGTAGCTCGATCTTGTCTCTCACCACATTACCTGCTGTTAGGGACGTTTTAGAGGCTGACTTATCAGCTTTATGTCAACAATACAATGGCCACACAACCTGCTCCACTCTCACCATTATATAATATGAATCTAACAGGAATAAAAAATATATATATTTCTCATATTTTTGAGCACTTCTTTGTATTTTTTTTCCAGTACAGAAGTGTCATAATTCTGCTTCCTTTTGACCCAGCATTTTGAGTTTCTTATATCCTAGTGATGTTTTGGTTTTGGTTTATGTTCACGTTTATTTATAGTCTTATTCTATTTTTGCATTTCTTTTAGTCCCTGTTCAGTTCTTGGATTATTAGGTTTTATTATTATCATGTTCTCCTGTTTCCATGTTCGGTGTGTCTAGTTGTTTTTCCCCTGTGGCGTCATGATAATTTGCTTCAGCTGTGTTCTTATAATTTCCCAGTCTAGTTTTGATATTCCTGGAGAGAAGACTAAGAGACATAATATATTGTGTGGAAGTGTAGAAGCAACACACATCCATCCAAGGTACAGTCTGAAAAAAAAGAGCAATGAGGATTATGAATAAAACCACTTCAAGAGAACCATCAAATCCGCTTTTTTAGTAAAATTAATATTTTCAAATTTAAGGATTTGGTCAACCTCAAAACTGCACAATGTACAAAACAGCAAACATCTTTTCACTAAATGACACTTCCATTTTTTTGTTGTTGCTCCCTCTCATACATACGAGGGGCAGTTGAAGATATGAACATTGATGTGGTGGTAATTCAACTGCAAGGTGAAGAGAAGAGAGCTTTAAATAGATCTGAGTGGTCATTATCAAACAATAACAAGACTGCAAAATGAACCTGCATGTGTTTTTACACACACACACACAGTGTGGAGGAGGTTTAGTCACTTTGTCGTTTCAGCGGAAGTTGTGACGAAGGAAACCACAGATAGAAAAAAAAAATGACAACAGCTCTTCTAAGGTTGAAGTGTGGCAAATTTGCTTCTCTTTTGTGAAACGTTTCCCTTTATTAAAAAAAAGAAAAAAGAAATTGCCACCACAAAGGTTTAAGCAACGACACAGTATGTACTTTTAAAGCTGAAAAAAGTGGAAAAGGAAATACTTATGAGTGTAGACATTAAATAAATAGCTCTCAATACTACAAAGATATATTTTTTATGTTTATCCGAACTGTTATGGGAAGCAGGGCACTGATTACTGTTAATCTCCACAGACTCAAGAAGTCAATTTTCACAGCTATAGGCCAATTATGAGTTGATACTGTTGATATTTTTATTCATTGATTTAGCACACAACTAGGCTAGGTTATGTAGATCTTTTTCTCTTTACTTATGTTGGTAAAATGATCATTGAAGCTACTGCAATTTTGCCTGACAACATTTTTATGACAGCTATATTTGCCTGTACTTTCATATATATCATAATACATTGACACTCAATTCTCTGTCTAGAGAACACTGGTTAGCTAATGCTGTTGTCAAGTAGCCTATCACTAGCAAACAAACAGCAAGCCAAACGATTAATTCATATATGAAATTCCAATGTTACATGAAAATATGTATAATGCTTACCGGCTATTAAAGAAAAGTATCTTGAAATCCAAAGAATTCAAATTGCTGGATCAGCGGATAGAGGCGGTTTCTCACAAGTGTAGTTTTTTAGTTTTTTGTTTTTTGTTTTCTTTTAAGGCGGTTTTTCCCGAAGTTGCAAAAGTTTGACGTCACAACAATGAGCTCCATCACTTGCAATGTTGAATCTGGAACAACATTAATTATGACGATGTGGGAACAACACCAACATGAGGATATCAGATCATGTGGTAACTTCAGGTTTAACCCTATGTTTTCTGTGTGAAGGTAGTTAACTTCTTTCTGGAATAGATTTAATTGTAATTGCGGTTTTCTTTTGTTCTGCTTTTTAGCTTAAAAGAGGAATGTTTGAATACTCAAGATTTTTTTTTATCAAGTTCTGAATATAGCCAAGAAGAATATGCTACTAATGCAAATTCAGCTACAACCTTTGTGAGGCATCTGCTCACAGCTAGGGTTGCCAACCGTCCCTTAAAAAACGGAATCGTCCCGTATTTAGAAACAAAAGTACACGTCCCGTATTGAGCTAATAAGGGACGCACTTTGTCCCGTAATACAGTGAGAATCAAAAGTAGTCTATAA